AACTCTCTTCAAATATTTCTTCTTTTTTTAAAAAAAAAAATTGATTTTTGAAATAAAAATTAAAATTTTATTCAAAAATTGAAGACATTTTTCTAGATAGTTTCCAATACATTTTTAGAGGGGGGAAATACTAAATATATTAATTAAACTAAAAAAAATCATTTAAATTATTTAAAATATTTTATTTGTGAAATCAAATAAATAAAATTTACATTCAGAAATTCCTGTAACATTTTTAGAATTTCTGAATTCTTTGAAATTTATCTAAATTTGTAAATATTAGCAATTACTTACGACATAAATAAAAATTATAATTGGTTGTTTAATTATTAAAATATTTTATAATGATTTTTTTTCTGTTCTATAATGTGTGCAGAATTCAGTTTTAAATAAATAAAATTTATAATATGTATTTATAAATTATAATCTTACACATATGAACCATTTTAAAAACTGTATTTTTTTTTAAAAATTTAAAAATCTCTGACGTAAAACATATCAACCAATAAGATTTAAATTTAGTTTCTAGAACGAATCTATAAGAAAATAGATATTTGCACGTGCCGTCCCGTCCACCATTTTACTTCTCGCGATTTCTCATTTATGGTGCGAGAATGGTTCATTCCATTCTAGAAAATAGGAGAGAAGGATTATGGAATGTGATCAAATTTAAAAAAAATAATAATAATAATAAAAGCTGGGATGATACTAATAATTTATGAATGTTACGATAATAAATTGAATTTTTTTTTAAATCTCGAATTAATTTTTGGGAAATAGAAATATAATAATAAAAATTTTATAAAATCAATAATAAAAAGAATTTATTTATAAGATGTTAGTGAATGTTTTAGTAAGATTATATTTAATAATAATTAATTTTTTTTATATATTACAATTTTTATTATATTATAATGCTACTTTGGTATTTAAATTGATATTTTAAGAGTTTAAATTGAAGAAATAATTTCAAATCTAACATTGATTAATTAGGTGCTTTCAAAGAGGGTGTTTTTTAGAATATTTGTCGAGTGTTTAGGAATAAATCTGAATGGCGATGCAGACGGAATTTCCGTCTGTATGAAGAGAATCGATCGTCTGCTAGCTTAGCAGACAGTTTTGTCCATATCTGCTCCCTGGTTCCGGATTTGGTGGGCCATACAGGGGAAGTCACGTGACCACGTTATTAAACCCCGAAGGAAATCGTCATAACATCCCCTCTTTCTCTTTCTTTTCCCCTCAAAAATTTTAACACTTTATAGAGGATTAGGGCTACTTATTAATATACACATGATATATTTAATTATGTATAAGCTATATATTTATACACTATCGAGTTTGTAAAGATTCCTAAAATATAATAATAGGAATATGTACTGTAGGAGGTTAGGATGATTATCGACGTGCTGAAATGCTAACATATGCTAGCGCTACTTATGAAAAATTTGTATTATACTCACTTTTTTAGTTGGGTTATTTTTTGTTGTGATTTGTTGTTGTTGTTGTGTTGATGTTTCCTCATCCTCTTCCTCTCTCGTGACGTACAGTACGTAGGGATCGGAGGTTCGTTCAGGTTTCAGCGACAACGAACAACGTTCTTCAAAAATGTGCTCGTACATCGTGAAACCTGGACAACTCTCCTTCCTTGTTAAAAAAATCTTGAACCGTGACGATCCTCATCACTCCATAGACGTTTTCTGTCGTGCCATATGTTAGGTTATAGATTGACACAGGAAGATCAGATGACAATTACGATGAAGATTCGGCTATCTTTATGACGTCACTGAGTCGTACCTACGACGTTTACTCTCACACTAACGTCTACGAAGATTGGTGGACGGTTTTCAATTGCACCTGTAGATGAAGCTGTACTATTACGGCACTGCTGTCGCGCTGGAAAGACGGATATCAGGGGCAGACTACGCCGTACGCGATGATGGAAGGTGGAGCTTGAATACCAAGATAGCGAAGAAGAAAGAAAATAACAAAAAAAAGTCATTTCTCCTTGGAAACACGGATCGTATTAAGTTACTGTATCGAGGGGATGGCGGTTAGTCGACTCAAAGAGGGTGCACATTTGCGTCCGTCTGCCTCGCACTGCATCTAGCACCTGTCACATCGCTACAGACAACCTGTAGGCTGAGCACACGTGGCTTGTGACGTCATAAGCGACATGCCGTCTGCAGCCTAGCCGCAGGGTAGCGGAAGTCTGAGCCATTAAGCGATGCTTCTCACCCCCTTCTTGCTTCGAACGTTCCTTCTCCCTCGTAAGATCCAACAGTCAATAGGTATTCTACTACAAATATTCCGATCACACAAACACACATAAACACTAATGTAAGTCGTTATGATGCGGTAAGTGGTATTATTTATTCATTGAAATAAACCGTTTTATTCTTATTTCCTCTTAAGTATGCTTAATGGAAAACCGAATAAGAATTCTGTGTTTGCCATCTGTAAATTTAACAGAGCGGAAATGGTAGCGGGAGATAGAAAGAACACCAATATTTTCTCCCCCCGACACATACCTGAACACGTAACAAACTCTCTCCTATTCCACGTAACATGAAATACCAGGGATAACTCTACACTATGCAACTATTGCTTAACTCCGTTATGCAATAAGTGTTGAGAAAAAAGGTGCTGCCATCTAGCGTTGTGATTAATAAATTATTGCATAGCGCGTATAATGCACACGTTAACGACTTCAATTAATTAGAATCTATGGGTCGAAGCTTAGAAGAAGTTAAGTTGGTTGTAAAATTAATTAAATTACTTTAAAAATATATAAGATAGCATCAATTAGAATGAGAAAATCGGACGTTCAATTATTTACCAATTACTGAGCAAATCTTGAAGAGAAAATTGCAGAGAGTCGCTGAACAAACGAATTTCTTTATCATGAAAGAAGGAAATGAATTCTCTTAGGAATCAAATTTTCTTTTCTAAATAATTGCCAATTTTAAGATAATCACAAGATCTTCGTACGAAAAGTAATAAAAAATTTGTTTTTTAATAACTTTTCAAATACTTATTTAAATAAATTATATTCGCAACGAATTTATAAATATTTTAAAATAATTATTAAATTCTAATATCAAAATTATATTTTAACTTCCGATTTAAAAATTTAAAAATTGTGTGATTTGGATATGATCTTATCATCATCTTCAATTTGAAAGAAAAAAAATATATATATTTAGATGATGAGTATAAAATATCATGCAAGTTATCATCTATACATCACAATTTTTATAAAGTTAATTTAATTATTAAACATAATAATCATTATCATCATCTCTAAGATAGTAATGAAGATAGGATAACATGAAAGAGTTATAATGATGATTTATAATAGTAACATAATGATATTTATCATCATTTTGTAAATATTAATATCATCATTTTTAAAATGAAGATGTTAGATGATATTGTTATGATAAGTAATATATTATCATCATCTAATTATTATTTTTGAATATGAAATTCTCTTCCAAAAGACAGAAATGATCTTAAATAATTACCAGTATTATACAGAAGATAATCTAGAAAAATCTAAAAAAAAAAAAGAATTTACTGAACATTGCTGCAGTAATTACATCATCATCGATTCAATACATCGTTAAAGCGCTTATCATCATTTCTGAGCATTTCTTTCTATTAAATCATAATCTTCAGCTCATATCATAAATTTTTATGTGCATCTCCATTATTATTTCTCCTAATATCATCATTTCTAACCAATATTGTATCATTTATCATCATTTCACAATATAATCATCAAAATATGGATGCTCTTACCAGATTAAGTAAGAAACATAATTTATCATCATCACTAAAAAAAACATAGATTTTTATAATTAAATTATATTTATACAGTATAATTTTATGTAAATTAAATTTTAAAACTTATTTCGAATGATTTTTAAGCTTTACCCATGAGAAATTTACTCTTTTGATTTAGAAAAAACTCATAATTTAGAATCGATATTATTGAATAAAACGAAAATAATTATAAATATTTTTTTTATAAATAAAAAAAGTTATCAAAAAAAGACATAAAATAGACGTTTTTCTTTGATAAAAAAAATATAACTTTTATAAGAATACATTATTAATCCTCTTCATCCTCTTTCGAAAATATTTTTGTATAAAAATTTTACAACATAATTATTACAACAAAATTATTACATACTTTAAACATAATAAAAAGTAAGGAAATTAATTTAGAAGTATGTAATGAAGCAACAGATTCTAGCAATGGACCTATAAAGTTACTTCTTTTTTATTTATTTATTTTTTTTTGGTTTATTGATTGGAGTCTGTCTTCATTAGAGACCCCCTCCTACTGCCATCGACCCACATCTATATAACAGTAAAAGCAAGCTTACCTTTATTTTCAATCTTATTTCTTACTGGAATAATACATCTCTCTAGAGAATAACGGAAAATTTTCGATATTTTCTCGACTAACAAGTGAAATTTTCTTTATTTATTTCTATTCTTAAATAAGTTCTTTTCTCATTTACTCTCCTGACAAGTTTTTTTAGCTGCGATGCATCTAACGTCTACATTATCTTATGATGTGTTTGACTCTATAAAAAAAACTCATTTTCTTTCTAATTAATAATACTTTTAAAATGTTGTCATCTATTGAAATTTATTTTTAAATTCCGTTTAGAAATGTTTTTTTAAGGAAACATTTGTTCAGTAAATTGTTGTATGGAAATTTTCAAAATTTTCTAGTTTATTTCCATTGAAAAGTGTCGTTTAAAGTCTATTTTTGATGTATTAGGCTTTAAATTCTTTTTATTTTTAATCAAAAGAATAAGGTTTTGGCATCTATTTTAACCTTATTTATTTGAAAATTCAATCGAAATAAGTACCGGATGTTTGTACTATACTGAAGTATTCCTATTTAAAGCTGTCTACAAAGATATTTAGCAGAGCCAATACAACCGAATCGGGTTTGGTGACAATACAGGAAATGCGGAAGAATTTCCATAAAAACAAACGTTAGTGCCAAAATTCGCCACTATGGCACTTTTGGCGCTGCAAAACAAACTTTACGATAAACAGAGACCTTAGCGATGTGAGGATTACTACTCGATGTGGTTCTCCATTCTGAAAGTATAAAATCTGATGAACACTATGTTCAACGGGCGACCGTAAGTGATCTTCTGTGTTTGTCACATGCAATGTGATAGTCTTTCAATGCTGCTATGTCCTCGATAAACTACACTCTTTAAGTATCCCCACAAACAATACTGATTTCTCGCTGTCTGAAGCGCCAAAAATGCCACGATGAAAAATTTTAATGAACAGCATGTTCTGTAGTGTAACCATACTAAATTTGGTGTCATTTGAACTACTAGATCTCCCTCTAGATAGCGTTGAATAGGCATACTTTAACCACCATTACCGTTATATACAGGGTGATGCGAGCGTTGTATATTTATTACAACGCTATTTATTACAATTGTATCTATTTATTTAAATATGTGTTGAACTCTTCGCTTCTAATAAGTAACAACGTATTTTCGTTTGTCGAAACTTAAAAATACTTATTTATTTCTAAAATATTTTTTTTGAAAGTAAATTATTTCGAAATCATATTCCAGCCGAAGAGCATCATACGAAATTACACACACATCATTACTTCACCATCACGAACATTAAACACCAACGATTTTTTTAAGCATTTCATTTTAAATAATTTTTAATATATTTTAAAAATAAAAAAAACGCTTTTACTGGTCATGTTTTTCGAGTGGGGGAAACGGTAGAGTGATCTCATTCCCACCATGTACTATACAGTACATCATCACAGTGTATTTACACATAAACAACACGATTAAATTCTACATTTGGTTACGTTTATAGGGTTTCAGGGTAGGGATGATAGTAGAGGGACCAATCCCTAAAATGCATTGTTATCGGGCTTGGTATCTTCAAAGTTTCAGCCTTCTATCGCAATTAGAAGTTGGTGAAATTTGAATTGCAAGATTTTATGACAATACAAATGAAAGCGTATAATAATAGTAAAAAATATTATTTCTAGTAAACAATAAACAAAAAAGTCACTTATTTACATCCGAACATATTTATTTTTTTCTAAAAAATTTATTTATTTTAGTAAATATATTCAAAATATATAGGATTTTGTAGTGTGTTTATTCTAACAATTCTTGTTCTCATTAAGAATAGAAATATTAATATTTATTTAAATTTAAAAAAATATATATATTTATTTTTTCTGAATTTAGTTTAGAAATATTTTTAAAAATTAATTCGGCAAGCTATTAGACTTATTTTTAAAAAATCCTAGCGAAATTCGAATATATTTAAAGTAGAAAATGTCGAATAAAGGTTATGTATATATAAACTTTGTTTTTTTATTCTAAAAAGCATTTATACTTTTCAACATTAATTAAAATATTGTCAATTATTTGAATATCTCAAAAATAATTATTATTTTTATTTGAAAATTTACTTCAAAAAGAAGAATTTTGGAAAATATATCCAAAAAAAAGCTCATATAAGTTAAAAGTTCTGACAAATTTTAACATGTTCTAAGTGGGATTTTTAAGATGGAATTTTTTAATATTATTTTTTATTTTAAAAACCTCTTCTAGGTCTATTTAGCAATAGTTGAAACATTGTCACTATTGGAAATGTTCAAATCTATTTACTTTTCTAAGAAAATTTTTAGTTTTAAAAAATAATATTTTGAACAAAATCATGTTGTAGATTGAAAATATTGTTTTTTTCTTAAAGATTTATTGAATAAATTTTGATATATTCAACTGAAATATCTCAAATAAATATTGTTTATACCAGTTTACTAAGATTTTTTGATTCTAAAAACTTATTTTATTGCATTTAACGGCAGTCAAAACATTGCCAAATTTTGGATTTTTTTTTTCAAAAACGTCCGATTTTCTTTAGAATATTTATTTAAGAAAATAAATACTTTGATAAAAAATTACTTATTAAATTATAAAATATATTGAAAAAATGATTAGTTCTGTAAATATAGAGCATAATTCTCGCGTACTGATATATATATGTATATTTTTTTATTCGAAAAAATTCTTTTGCGGCTGTTTAACAATAGAAAAACATTGACACTTATTTAGAATTTTCAAAACGTATCCATTTTCTTTCGAAAATTTGCTTTTTAAAGTAAACATTTTGGACAAAATTATATGGTAGACTGAAAGGTATGTTGAGGAAATCATTATTTTTTGAAAATTCTAAGAAAATTCGAGTGTGTTTCATATAAAGATTCTCGTATGAACGTTATGTTTACTCGAATTTTTCTGGTATTTTTTTNATTTAATAATAATTAATTTTTTTTATATATTACAATTTTTATTATATTATAATGCTACTTTGGTATTTAAATTGATATTTTAAGAGTTTAAATTGAAGAAATAATTTCAAATCTAACATTGATTAATTAGGTGCTTTCAAAGAGGGTGTTTTTTAGAATATTTGTCGAGTGTTTAGGAATAAATCTGAATGGCGATGCAGACGGAATTTCCGTCTGTATGAAGAGAATCGATCGTCTGCTAGCTTAGCAGACAGTTTTGTCCATATCTGCTCCCTGGTTCCGGATTTGGTGGGCCATACAGGGGAAGTCACGTGACCACGTTATTAAACCCCGAAGGAAATCGTCATAACATCCCCTCTTTCTCTTTCTTTTCCCCTCAAAAATTTTAACACTTTATAGAGGATTAGGGCTACTTATTAATATACACATGATATATTTAATTATGTATAAGCTATATATTTATACACTATCGAGTTTGTAAAGATTCCTAAAATATAATAATAGGAATATGTACTGTAGGAGGTTAGGATGATTAT